AGCAAGTCAGGTATTTTGTGACTAAATTCCATTGATAATGCTATCAACAGCTTCACAATAAATGTAGTTCTGGCATATCCGCATTGTTAGGATAGATAAAACTCCAAGTCCAACAGCTTAGAGATTCACGAAGAACCTGAATAATTTTATCACGCTAGCACAAAACATTATTAAATCGTCTCGCTTTATTTCGCAACTACAGATATCTTTCTGCTTATAGAAAGTAGGTTAAATGATTTTGTTGAATTATACTTTGTTTCGATCTGCTTTGATGTGTTCTACTGAATCTTGTGGAAAATTTTTCGTTCTAAGTTGCAAAGCGAAAAGTACATTTATATCTTGTCTGTAAAATATGAATCCGACATTTATATGATTTGAATGTACTTTTTGCTACGTGTATTGCAATATAAATTTTTATTTTGCCAAAACATGTTTCGCAGACTCCTTTAAGCAACTGCAAATGAAGTTCTAACACGAGTTACTGTATAAAACGAGATTTGCAGGTATATTCTCCCGCTGTTTTGAACAGTCTGAAGATTTTCATTGTTTGAGCGGTAATTCTGTTTACAGCAGAGACGTTGTTTTAATGTTTTATTTTTTTGTCAAGGCTGTGTATATTGTGCATTGTACATTGTGAAGCGTGCTTTTCTGGATTAAATTCTCTTTCTTCACATTCATGAAAATTTATGACCGTCTTTAGTTTTTTTTGTTGCCATAGTGAGGGTGCTGAGTTACGACGATGAAAAGCGCGAACAGCGGTCAGACGGCACTTGAGGAAAATGGATTGCGTAGAAATACACTGGGAAACATTTCTGCATCGATGCCAGGTTATTATTTGAAATGGATGCAAGTTTGGATCAGAATAATAGGCGGCAGTGTTGTTTAGATTTGAGTTTCGTGAATCCGTCTTCTCTGAACGAAGTTTCGCTGAATCGAACGTTAAGGTTCGAGGCGGTACGGCCTTTGAATATCAACGCATTGAACAACGAGCTCACATTTTTGAGGACAGAAAATTTCAACCTGCGAGCGCATATTTTCTTGCTCAAGGAAAAATACGGCGATACCGATGACGACATCGACATTGTCAGCAGATCGCAGGTTTGCGGGCAAAATTTGCCTCGTTTCTTAGTTGAAATGTTTCGCTTTCCTGTAGGAATCAACACTGAAAACGATCTCACAGCTGAAGCAAGAAATTGAACTGAAGGATCAAGCATTACAGGAAGCACGGTACGTATTACCGCATTCGTCATTTGTAGTGCTCGTTTTATTTCGACAGTTGCCAGCATGTGTTGTGTTTGTTACACGTTTAAATTCATCACAAGTGCTAGGCGTTTGCATTCATACGAGGATAGGAGTTACCTTGAAGCGAATTAAATAGGAGAGGTAGGCAAACTGGTTCTTATATTTGCCGCTGAAGGTTCAATATATGAATCTCAATCTAAACTAATTTTCTTTCTTGTATCATTATTTTCTCTGCTGCGAACCCTCTGTACTGTTGCAAATTATTGATACCTTCCTGTTTGGGACGTATCGGAGATGACAGTGTGGTTATTTTGCTATAAAACGGTTTTCATGGACGACGAGCCTTATACGGTTACGTTATGCATTTTACTCAGATGCTGATGTTTATTGATTGATTGCAAACTTTGTCTAATGCGAATAAATTTTGCATTTTAATTCCGTAAGATTTTCTCGATGATTTTTCGAGATAGGATTTCTTGTTTATTCTTGCTTACCTGAACTTTTCAAAAGCTGCCGTACTTGCAGAATACAGGTGCAAAAATTTTTTCACCGTCAGCAGTGTACATTGAATGCAATCAGTTCAGAATTGAGGTCGTACTACATTCAACCGTGAATACCACAATCCACCACTATAGTCGCAGTGCAACGAAGAGTTTTTTGATCGACAGATATTTTCTTCAACATGGAATCGACGAATCTCTGATTGCAAATAGCTCAGTAACGGTCATCTTGTGTTATGGAATACCTGTGATTTGAACAGCATAATGTTCTGGTGTTCTTATGTCAGGCTTTGCAATGTTCACGGCGCTGTTGCTGTTGTCTGATTAATAGTGGATTAGCAATTGTCATTCGATCGGCTTGCCAGCTGATTTAACTTGCTGAGGGTGGACCCACTCGATAAATAGATGAAGATAAATAAAATTTATTGCTTCACTCTGTAATGAACGAGTAGTTGCTGATGACAGCGATCTGAGAAATCTATCACGTGACCTTAGAGACCATCGCGGCTTCATTTGATAAATCGACTCAATAACAAAATGGAAATATATTTAAAATTTTTGTCTCTTCGAAATCGCGCATTGGCCACAAACCCGTAGAAGGACAATATAAAACGTTGAATTATCTCGTGGAGGTAGAACTGCTAGTGGAGGGAAATATAACCTTTGCCACATTAATGAATGTTGCCTAATATCTGTTTTAAGTACCATTTCTCTTTCACTGAGATATCATATATCTGGGTTACTCTGCTGGTCAAGTTCTGATAACCTCAGATGATGGTGACAGAACAACAAGAAAACAACTGATTCTATAAGTTCCATTGTAATGCCGTCTTCACCGGGAGCGTTTTTATCGCTTTGAATGTATCGCATGTTATTACAAGTCGCACTTCTTCCGCAGTCACCAGCATCGCCTAAATTATTCTGAGAAGCCAAGGCGTGAGACATCATTAATTTCGGTACTCTGTCCTCTACGCTGATACCTCAAATGTCCATGACAACAGCAACAATAACGTCTTATGCAAATTATCGGGAATTTTATCAATTTTATTTGTATCTTCCATCTCCTTATCGTCACGAAGAGTGCTGCTGTCTTCATCTTTGTGCAATTTTCCATTTCCCTCTAGAATTTCTTGTCTGTCCCGAATGACAGTACCGCTTTCTACATTGACAGCTAAAATTTGTCGTTTCCCAGCCATCATTCTTCGATTATTGCTCCAGAATAAATAACAAATATTGTTCAAGGAAGAGATCAACCGCCGGAATGGAGTTGCCATTGGCGTTCTGCGTGAACTAGCCCCAACCATTGTGACTAAAGCAGAGTTGAGTCTGAAGACAGCTTTCGGTGTTCAAGTCGATCTTCATTCCCATGCTTACCTGGGGTCATGAGTCGTGGACCATGAACCATGACTGAAAAACTTTGATCCCTGGTACAAACCGTTAAAATGGGTCTTCTGAGATGAATTGGCAGTCTAATCTGTCTCCACATGATATGGAGTAAAGATATCCTGGAATATATCCTAGAAAACCTTGGTGTAGAATCGATGCTTCTTCAGATTGACAAGCCACAGTTGCGATGATTTGGGCATGTGTTGTGAATGCCTCCAAAAAGGAAGGCGAAGCAACTATTTCTTACCCAGTCGAGCTGCAAAAGGCTCCGTGGAACGTCTGGGATTAACCTGGTGCAAACTTGTGGATGAAGTTTGCTCTAGACTCTAGTTGACTTCTGCCGAAGTTCAGACTATGGCACAGAATCGGGAACGTTGGAAGCTCTGTCTGACGTGTCTGTCTCCGCAACCCGAACGGATAAGCGGTTTAGTTGATGATGATGATATTGTTCAATAATCGAGTGTGTCTTCTATAGGAATGCTGAATTTAGTGCATTTTAAAGAAATCAAACAGGGTATAATGCATGTAAATCTCAGCCTACTGATATCAGTAGTCTATACATCACTCATTTGGGAATGATTGGGAGTCATAATTAACGACTGAACAGATAAAATATTAGGATGTAGAAATTTTTTAAAAGATATATGCAACAACTGCATTCTTCATATGATTTCTGTTTTTGTTTAAAGAATTATTTTAGAAACTCGAACGAAAGCATTCAGCGACAGTTGGATGCGGCACTGAAACATTCGACTTTAGTTAATGAGGCAAACACTGCTAACTCACAGGAGACAAAGGTAACAGGCACTAAATTTTTCTCTGAAAATACAGGAGTTCTGTTGTTTGTTTTAAAGATGATTCTGCATTACTCACTTTATTCTCTCGTAATGTTGATTGAGTGGTTTCGGGTGCTAGGCAGAAGTCAACATTAGAACGCGGGTTTTGTGTTGCGGTGGTACAGTGACAGAGGGGGCGGCTGGAACTCCTGAGAAGGAAAAATCTTTGTCTTATCCGCAGATTTCCTCCAGCAAAGAATTCGCTTGTTCCACGTTGTTTTAGAGCAACTACCTGGAAGTTCACAGCCAGAAGTTCACTTGTGCACAACAGGGGTATCGTTATTCTGATCTGATCATAATTGAATGGACGAAGTGAGGTGTACGGCCGTGCTCTCAGCTGCGAGTTCCCAAGATGGCTGCATTTCGCCTTGACCCACATGATAACTAACTATCCAGTGTAATAATTAGTTAAAAATGTCACCTATAAAATAGTCTTGATTTTTGAAATTAATAATATTGATACCAATTTAAAACGGCGACACGGCGGTAGTGTAAAATAGATGGAAGTCTTACCGCAGTATTGCACCATTTTTTGCTTGTAGTCGCCGATAGGGACATTTAAGCAGACCATGGCTCCGCGGTATTTTAGTGCCTGCATGTCCATCTTGAATCTGCAGCGCGTGACGTTGATGTCAAATTAACAGTAAGCCAGCGTAGCGAAGGCAGTTTCGGATTCGAAAGCTTTTTCAATTGAAGTCTTCAGTTATGACTCAGAATTTTGTAAACTGTATCGCATTTTGAGTGTGGGGATACCGAGAACTACGAAATTGACTATAAAATGAAGTATTATTAACTACGTGAACTAGAAACAATGGTGGTTGTAATGATATGGAAACTTTTTTCTTGTTACATCAAGATTGTGAATGATTACATCCTCCGTTGCAAAAAAAATAGTGGAAGGAAGTTAATAATTGAGTTATTGTTAATTCGAAACTTTTCATGGCGAAAAATCTGGAACACCAAAGACTTGAGGGATGCAAATCCGGATTCTTGTGACTTCATTTCCGGGGTCTAGATGCTTACTTTTTTATATCAATATTCACTCATTTCATAACAGTAAATCACTTTAGCAAATATCTTCTTTTTTAAAAGCAAAAAACTTAAAAAGTTTTCGAACTTATTTGAGAAACAGATTATTTTATGTAGTTCACAAATTCGGTGTAACAAGCAGTTGCATCAAACGTCAGTACGTCACAACAAACAGTTCGATAACATTTTTTTAATACGATTGTAGGAATTTTTCGAACCGGAATAGAAGACTTCTGTTTTTAGCAAAATGCTCAGTTGCATAACTGCGTTTCTAAGCTCATTTTATTGATGGATCATTATTAATTCGAATTTAGGTCTGCACACTTATACTGCAACAATTTTCCTTAAATCGTCACTGCTAAAAAATTCCACTCTAAACTGAACAGCGAATCAATTTCAGTTGCAGACAGATTACCGCTGCTAGTATGGACAGTACTACATACTAGCATATATATATATATATGCTAGTATGGACAGTACTACATACTAGCATATATATATATATATGGACAAAATGTTTTCCCCATTTTTTACACATCCATGTTTTTTTCTAATTCATGCATTAGTACTACTTATTTACTGCCTCAGAAAAGTCAAATTGCTCTGATAAGGATTGACTAATCATTAAAAAATGAAATTTTTTTACAGACTGGGTATTTTTTTGCAGCCAGTTTGATAACCAAAATGTTAATCATCTAAGCTCAGTACCTCCTGTTCAGATGGTGCCAATTTTTCGCTTGATCTGATAGTAAACATCGAAGAAGCGCAGCATATCCTCTTTCAGTTATGCATATGCAGTCGTCCCTCGGCATATCGCGATTCACTTTTCACGGTTTTTTAAATTTTACATATCTAAATTTCGCTATATCGCTGGGTTT